ATTAATCACTACGGGAAATATGAAAGGAGCCAGATATGGTCTCAGACCCAGAAAGTCAAAACAATTAGGAAAGAGTAGGAGACAGCACATGACAAATGGTAAGTGATGTGGCATTAACATAATTGAAAAAGATTCAGGAAAAGGTGGGTGTACATGTGTCTCCATGATTCTCACGTATGAACACGTGTGGCAGATGTGAAGGTGAGCAATTCCCCGCCAGCTTAGGAGGAAGGTTACTGACTTGACACACTAAGGAGCTGAATCTAAATCGAGCGCGTTTATGATGTGGATACTAGTGTTAGCTCTGTAGGAGGAGAACTCAGAAGTGTGGAGAAGTTGGGAATCTTGGTTATGGTCGTACAGCCTAGCAGTAGTAGAGTCAAGCTCTGAGCTCAGAATTCAAAGCCTCTACTCTTAACTGCTATACTATATGGTTCCCCCAAAAGTGTAGGACCCCTCAATGGGCAGGATCAGTTGAGGCCTCCACTTCTGATGTCAAGGTCTTTCCCTGCTCTGAAAGTCAGAATGAGTCAAAAAATCTAGTCCCCCTCTCACCCTTTGAAAGAAAAATTCTCAATAATTCTAGCCCAGTTACCCGCCTATACCTCCACCTGTCTTCTCTACCATTACGTGGACATCCTCAGCAACCACCTCTGAGTTAAGATGAACGTTCTTCTGTTTCAGGGTTTCTCAGCCTCAGCACTGTTGACATGTTGGGTTGAATTAGTCTTTGTTGTGGGAGCTGTTCTGTGCATAGTAGGATGTTTAGCGGCATCACTGGCCTCTGCCCTCTAGAGGCTGGCTGCACCTTTCTCTCCCCTAGTGGTGTGACAACCAAAAAAGTGTCCATACATTGCCACATGCCCCCGGAAGGAAAAATCACTCCAGTTGAGAAACACAGCCCTGTTTTGAAATGGACTGAAGAACTGAGAGGGCCTAGAACTCTGGATGGGCTGGGCAGGGTGCAGTGCTAGAAACTTCAGGTAAAAGTATGCATTTTTGGTTTCTTTACCTGAGTGAGCATTATAAGTCAATAGCACACAAATTATTTTTTCCAAAAATAGAACTTTATTTTCATATAAATCATTTTAATTTTAAGAGCCTATTCTTCCTTATGGCAGAAAACGTTACTATAGTCATTTCAGTAAACTTATTAATTTATCATTTAAATGGAGTCAATTCAGAATGTTCCACTCCTCTTCCAAACACTTTTCCCCAGAATGGATTAGCGTTAAAGAGGCATCTTGGAGGGAGAGGAAATGTTTAAGCAGTGGTTGTCCTGTGTCCTTCTCTGGCATCCACTGCAGTGGAACAATCTCCTTTAGTCTTTAGTTTGGGTATTTCTCCATCCGACATCTGATGAGGCTTCCGTGGTCGCCCTGTTCTCCACTGTGTAATCAATACCACCTGAGCTTGCAATATTCACCACAAGTAGAAGTCCCCTGTCCCCAGCAGGTCTATCAGCTCAGTGTCCACTTATTCTACCCTAGGCCACACAAGAAAACATTTGGCTGCTCCCCAAAACTCACTGAGGTGTACAGGGGTGCTATGTTTGGCTTACGAGCCTAGGCAGTCCAGGTAGCCATCTCTACTTCCCCATGGAATCATAGACAGGGAAACTGTAGGGTTATTGCCTTCCTGAGCAGCGAAATCAAGTCATCAAACTCACCTGGAGTTTCTGCATTCCCTTTACCTGAAGTATGAGGCCAGGGCAGAGGGTCCCTTTCTTGTCACCTGCCTACCTGTCTAGCTTTTTTGCTGTTCTCTCCCCCAGGTTTAGAGGTGGTGGGAAGGGAAAAGTGACCAACTTGATAGTGGAATTGATGTGTCAGAATAAAAGATATATAAACAAAACTTAAAAGCAATAATTCAGTTTTTAAAAAATATTTACAAATAATTTGAAGGAAAAGCTCTCATGAAGTGAAGCTTATTGAATTTAAGGACCATATAAAAAAATATTTCAAAGGATTTCAATGTTGTTTACCTAACTGACAATAAAACTCTATTTTCATTTTATTAGTTTCAATTCTGGAAACTTCTAGATAAAGGATCTCTAAAGTTCCAAAGTATAGGGAACGAAATTCCCATTCTTGGAATCTGAGTCACCTCCTGCTTACAATGCTGACCTCCCTAGGTCAGTAAAAAGCATCAAATAAAAACCACAACTAGGGCTTTCAGTAAACTTCCAGTCCAGAGGGTGCAAGGGGCTCACAGTTTGACCCACTTTGTTCCAAACTTATAGCAAATGATAGAAAAATTATATAGAAAGAGAACCTCATAATAATATAGCTGAGTCCCAAAGCCAGATTAAACATCTCTTGAACCAGAAATGAACCAGAAAACAGGGTGATGAAGTATGGATCTGCCGGGCTGCTGGCATGAAGCAGGCAGAGACAACCACCCCTGGTGACGGGTGAAGGCCTCAGTGCTCTGAGTGAGCTGAGTCAAGGCTGGGAAGCAGGACTAACCTTGCTGCTTTGACTGTTTATTGAAAGAGGAGGCTGCAGGATAACTTCTACTGATGTGCATCCTAGTGTACAGATTTATAAGAAACCATGAGCTTGAAGCAGGGGCATGGCTGGGGCAGCAAGAACTGAATTATCCATGTGCTGGTTCAATTACAGCTATATCTCCAATTTTCCATAGGAAAGAAGTCCCAGAAAGCCACTGTAAGACCTGGAAGGGAGTCAGATGGAGGCACTTAGAGAAAAATGAGAGCAGAGAGAGAGAATATAAAAAAACAAGTAACTAAAAATGCCTGGACGCCAAAGTTGCAAAATACACAAAGAAATTGAATGTTAAGAAAAACAGTCAACAAAATCAATAATAATAATACACTCCAGATTAATTTTATAGGATGAGTTAACAAAGATTTTAAATATGCTTAAAGCACTCTAAGTTATAAATGGAACAAAACTTGAAGAAGAATTTATGAAACAAAAAAGAAGAAAAAGGAAGAAATAAGAAGACAAGTAGATATTTTTAAAGAACCTGTTTGAAATATTATAAATGAAAATTATGGAAATTTTTAAAAAATATCAATAAATGGGCAACTCTGGACTGGACATAATCAGAGAAAAAATCTGAGTCAGAAATTAGTATTGAGGGATTTACATAGTATACAGCCCAAAGAGATAAAGGGGTAAAAGCGATGAAAGAGCTGTTATTAGATAGAGAAGTTTAATCAAGAAACTCCAGCAAATGTCTATTAGGAGTCTCAGAAAAAGAGACTAAAGGAATCGCAGATAAGCAATAGTTGTCAGTGTAATAGTTGAAAATTTATCAGAATTGAAAAAGACAAAATCCTTAGTTGGAAAACACAGCCTATTAAATTGCTACAACATAGTGGGTGACATTACAGAAAATTGAGGTTAGAAAGAATATTCTTAAGAGCTATCAGAAAGAAAAGACATGACTACACAGGAATCTCAGCCAGAATGACAGCATACTTCTCATCAGCAGCGATAGAGCCAGAAGATATGAGGATAATATCTTAAAAGTACCAAGAGAAAATAACTAACTAGAATTTTATAACCATTTAAATCATCCAAGAGCAAGGGCAAAATAAGGATATTTTTGGATGTACAGATTAAAATGCTTTACAACACACACTATTATAGGATATACATTAACAAGATTAGCAGGAGGGAAAGATTGGGATATAAGGAGCAATAAGTAACACAAGAAACAGAGAAGTTAATAAAATTTGATTGTAAAAGTTAAAATATAAAAAATTTTAAAATAGAAATAATTTTTTAATTGAAAAAGTAAAATTAAATCTTTGAACACATAGCATAATGGAGGGTTGTCATTGAGCAGTTGAAGCTTGCTAAAATATGCATCATGTTTGGAGGAAGAGAGAAATACAAAATTTATTTAGACTTTATAAGAAAATACATAGTTATGAATGTTTTTTAAAATTTTTAACAAGGATCACTAATAGAACAGAAATATATTTTACAGCTTCTAAAACAGCAGAAGTAAAAATAAGGATAATGAAAATGTTATCTAAACAAGGAAAACATAAAAGGAGGACAAAGAAAGGGATGGTAAACGGAAAACAAAAAAGATTGTAGAAATAAATCCCAGCATATTAAAATCACAATAAATGTAAATGGATTATTTTCATTATTTAAAAAATGTTTAAGGGACCAGCCTGGTGGCATAGTTGTTAACGTTCACACACTCCGCTTCAGTGGCCTGGGGTTCGCAGGTTCGGATCCCAGACATGGACCCAGCATGACTTGTCAAGTGATGCAAGCCACGCTGTGGTGGTATCCAACATAAAATAGAGGAAGATTGGCACAGATGCTAGCTAGTGACAATCTTCCTCACACACGAAAAAAGAGTTTAATTGAGGAGATGTTGTTTAAGGGTATAAACTTGCAAGTAAGTTCAGGAGATCCACTGCACAGCATAGTGATTACAGTCAACAATGCTGTATTATAAACTTCAAAGTTTCTAAGAGATTAGATTTTAATTGTTCTCACCACAAAAAAGAAATGGTAACTATGTGATGTGATACAGATGTTAGTTAATGCTATGGGGGTAATCACATTGCAATATATAAATGTAACAAATCAACAGTTTGTACACCTTAAACTTACACAATGTTATATGTCAATTATACTTCAATAAAAAAGTGTTTACAGAACAGCATATGAGACACACTTAATTTTTTTAAAGTAAGTTTTAAAATAAAGAATCCTAAATAGCCAATAATCTTGAGGGAGTGGAGATTAAAACAGAAAACATGGCAAAATAGAATGGCTTAATAAAGTTGGGTGATGGATACTTGAGTGTTTGTTACATTCTGTGCTTTTCCATATGTTAGAAATATTTCCCAATTTTAAGTTGTGCATTTGATTTATGAAAAAAAGACAGTAGGGGAAGTTTGTAATAGGGGACATCCTAGTTAGCCACAAGTACGGGTAATTTACTGTGATGCAGAAATCCAAGAAGAAAAATAGAAATGTAACAGTTTTCATCTATCGTTTCAGGCACATGTTTGACCACTTCAGAAACCTCTACCCACAGCTGATTCAGACACCTTCCATCGTCAATAAAGTGCGGGATTTTATGGCGTATGTATAATGGCTTTCCTCTTCTCCTTGTTATTGAGGCTGAGGGGCCTGAATCTGTCATTTCAGACAGCAGCTTTCCTTTTACCAATTTCTTTTATGTCTCTTAGGCAGGACTCTGAACTTTGTTCCTGTAGTAGGTATAGCACTTTTTGGTAATGGCATGAAAACTGGTTGCAGACAACATGTCCCCCAATTTGGGCTCTTTCAGAGGTCAGGTTGAAGATCACGCTATTAATTGCTAACACAACTAGAGGAAGACGCACCAAGAGTGTAAGGCAGGCAAAGTTAACCACCTGGATCACTTCCACTTGGGGGCCCCTCTCTTTGCAGAGCTCTCTCCTCCTCCTTCTTTAAAGAAATTCCTTTTCATGGGCCTGATGACTAATCCTAGCTGGAGTGTTGGCTAATGTCTAAAGTCATAACATCCTCTGAGAATATTTCCATTTTAATGAAGTTTTCTAAAGACTAATAATTCTCAATATTCAGAAAACTTCTTTGATATTTGTGGGATGACAGACTATGAGATTGACTTGGGGACAGAAAGGCTCTTGGTTTGGCTCTCCAAGTCACACACTAGCTACCCTCTTCATCGAATGCTAAGAACCCACAGAGCATCAGATAAAACCAGTGGGCTAGATCCCACGAAGCAATGATATCGTATTCTAAGACTGATCTAGAGAGAGCCTGGACAAATCAGAAATAGCTTTCAGGATACAAAGCTATGTCAAAGCATCCCCTATGAATTGCAGAGAACAACAAAGAGGAGAGAACTATAGAAAACAAGCCTACAAACAAAAGCTAAGCGTGCTAGGACAGAGGCATTGAGGCAGTTATTAGCAACAACAGAAATAGAATGAACCATAAACTATGAAAGTGATTTGAGAGAAATATAAACATACACAAATTACCCTGTCGTTGAGAGTTTTTATTTTTTCCTGTTGTTTAACTTTACCACTTCTACATGCAGGAATAAAGTCGATCAACTTATCCTTACTGATTTAGGGAGACATGATTTTATATGAAAGTGTTTGGATGGTCTATCCTTGACTTTCTTAGGTCTCAGTATCACAGGTGGGTAAATATTACACCTGTATTTCAGTTCTAGCTAGAGCATGGAGGAAGCTATGAAGGAAGAGTTGTAGTCCAAGGGAGAAATTAAAAATCATTTAGGATTTGCCCTGATATCCTTTCAGAGTGATTGGAAGGTTACAAGATCCAGAATTAAATTATACTAGCATAAGTATCTGAATGCATAATTTCTAAACGCCTGAGGTTAATTTAGCTCTGGATGAGCAACCATAGAGACCTCTAGTACAACTCTAATTTCTCTTTCAGGAAGCAAGATCAGTGGACCCGGAGTAAGATCAAAGATTACAAGGATGACCCGTTTTGGAGACATATGGGCTATGTTATGGCACAATTAGATGGGCTGTATGTAGGAGCAATGAAGAGGGCTTCATTAGAAGGGATAAAGGTAAGACTTTTAAGAAGCTACTCAGAATTTATATAGTATAGCAGGAATATTGAAAATTATCTTTAAAATAGCTTTCCAATTTAGAAGCAGATCAAATTCGACTAGAGTAGAAATTCCTTGCACACACACACTGTCTTGTCTATCATACTGCTAGCACCAGACTCACTGTCTCACGCAAAATTCAAGCTTAACACACAAATAAACCAACTTCTTTCTGAGTTTTCTCAATCTCTTTCATAGTTTTGTGCTCTGGGGTAGGTTAAAGAGCCTAGTATAGATGTACTGGCTGTTTAACCCAATAATGCTAGTGTTTTAGATAATATGATTGCTAAAGCAAAATGTCTAAGTGTACAAGTTCTAGGCTTCCCATCCTCCACAACATACACACACACACGTGTGCACACATCATAATTTGTTTGGAAAGCTTTACTGACTCTTTGAAGATTCAAAGGTACCATTGAATATACTTTCAAATTAATGGGAATTTTGGCTCCTGAGGGTAATATGTTATATACACACACATACATAGACACATACACTGGACAAAATATACAAAAAGGTTGTTCATAGAAAAGTGATGCAACAAATTCTTTTTTTTAATTAATTTGTGTTGTGTGAGGAAGATTTGCTATGAGCCTAACATTTGTTGCCAATCCTCCTCTTTTTATTTTTTTTGCTTAAGGAAGATTAGCCATGAACTAACATCTGTGCCAATCTTCCTCTACTTTGTATGTGGGATGCCTCCACAGCATGGCTGATGAGCAGAGCAGGTCCACACCTGGGCTCCAAACCTACAGACCAGGGAACCCAGGCCACTGAAGCAGAGTGCATGGAACTTTAACTACTCAGCCACAGGGTCAGACCCCCAAAAATTCTTAGCGATGTGAGTTCAGCCTTGCTCATAAGACTGGAACTACAAATTAAAACCATACTGAGAAATACTTTCTCACTTGTCAGTTTGGCAAACCTTCCAAAGTGTGAAAGCATACTCTGTTGTCTAGGCTATGGGGAGAAAAGGCACTTTCCTAAAATATTAGTGGGAATGCAAAATGGTATATCTGCTAAGGACAGGAAATTTGGCACTCAGTACTCAAATCACATGCTCATTTACCCTTTGATCCAGTCATCCCACTTGTAGGATTACCACACAGATTCACTGGCAAAAATACAATATAGCATATGTGCAAGTCTAGTCATCGTAGATAGTTTGTAATAGCCAAAGACTGAAAACAGCCAAATATATAGAAGACTGGCTGAGTAAATGACGTAGCTGTAAACAGGAATGAGGCAGCTCTCCATATACTGCTATGGAGTGACCTTCAGGATCTGTTAAGTGTAAAAAAGTAAGGTGAAGACCAGTGTGTATCATTTGCTACCTTTTACGTAAGAAATGGAAATAAGATGATAGATAGACAGATTTGCTTATCTTTCCAAGAAGAAACAATGTAAGAATAAACCCAAAATTTTTTTTAAAAATGATTATCTATAAAAAAGGAAGAAGAGAGAGTGGAGGTGACAGGGATGAAAGCTACATTTCTCTGAATGTAACTTGCTTTGTACATTTGACTCTGGAACCAAGAAAATACTGTTCTTAATAATAAAACAAAATTTAATTACATATAAGAAAAACAATTCCTAAAATCTGAAAACAACTTGACACAAATATATCTAATTGTATATCAAGTTCATGGCATAACCACACAGAGACCTTTTATTTCAAGTGACCTTAAAAACAGTTATTGCTGCATATCCTTAGTGGGATAGAACCTAAGGATAAGAAGAACCATCAAAAAAACAAAAACAAAAACAAAACAACCTTTAGCTCTATTCAGTAATCTTACTTTAGTAAGAATATTGGTATTTTTATTTTGAGATTTGATGGAGTTTAGTAAATAGATATCGTAAGATAAAGCAAATAAGTAGATATGTTGGCTATCAAGATTTTTAACATAAGAAAAATCAATGAAGTAAAGACTGTAGTTTTTAAAGTTGTTATTTAGGTAGAAAATCAATACTTTTAGCTTCCTTAAAAAAATACATATTTCCTTGCTTTGTCCCCTGAAAAGGTCTAGAAATAATGACAATAGCATTGACCCAGGTGTATTGAGTCTTCCCTAAGAGAATATGACTTAGGCTAGGCAATCATGTCTTAAACAAGATAGAAAAGCACTAGCCATGAAGAAAAAGATAGATAAATTCTGCTAATTAGAATGAATTTCTTTTTATCAGAAGACACTAGATAGTGAAAAGATAAGCTGCAAACCAAGAGAAAATGTTTGTAATACATTTAACTAACAAAGGATTTGTTTCTAAAATACATAAAGAACACCAACAAAAAAATTTTAAAAAAGAAAATAGTAGAAAAATGAGCAAGGGCAAAAAAAAAAACAGGAATTTCACAGAAAAGAAAACACAGATGGCCCAAAACGTGTGAAGAAATGCTCTGTTTTGAAGAAATGCGTATTAAAACCTCAGTGAGATCCTATTATGCACCAGGATTGGGAAATCTCAACCTCTGCTGGAATGAGTAAATAACTACCACCACTTTGGAAAAGAATTGGGCATTACTTGAAACATTTGAAGATAATACATATTCTACAACTTAGTAAATCCACTCAGAGATTTGAGACACTCTTGTATGTGGGGTCCATGTACATAAAAGTTCACAGTACCATTGTTTTCCTGTAAACTGGGAATATCCCAAATGTTCATCATAAGCATATCGTGATACTATATATATATATTCGTGTAATGAATGCCATATAGCAATGAAAATGAATGAAGTTTCCACACTATCAACATTGATGAATGTCAAAAAATGATATTGAGCAAAAGAAGGCACACAATAGGATTCTGTTTGTGCAAATTCAAAAGCAGCAAATTTTAGAGAATATGTTGTTTAGCGATTCATACATAGATGATAAAATAACAGAAAAGCAGGTAATGAGCAACACAAAATTTAGCAGAGTGGTTACTAACTGGCAGGGAAGGAGGGAGATGAGGCTGAAGACTTCTAAGGAAAGAGTGATATTCTGTTTCTTAAACTGTGATGTGGTTACATAGGTGTTTATTCTTATTATTTTTCCTTCAACTGTGTATTTACATCTTTATTCTTTCATATGTATGGTATCATTTTTAATTTTAAAAATAAAGGCAAAGGAATTTACAATTCATATCAGAGACAATGAACTAATTTCCCTAATATTCAACTCCTAAAAGTCAATCAGAAAAAGAATAACCTAGTAGAAAAATAAAGCACATGAACAGTTCACAAAAAAAACAAATCCAAAGGTTCAGCCTTACTCATAACAAAAGAAATGCCAATATAAACTACAATGAGATACTATTTTTCACTTATCAAATTGGAAATAAACTACATGTTTAATATGCTGTTGAGGCTCTAAGAGTATAGTGGAAACAAGCGCTTTCGAGACAATTTGCCAATATCTACGCAAGTCAAAATCACTTCTAAGAATTTAGCCTACACATAGACTCACACACATACAAAATGATGTTTCCAAGATTGATTATTGTCACATTATTTATAGTAGAAAAAGACTAGAAACCACCAGAAGTCAGTCGATAAAATACTGGTTAAAAATATGGCAATGCATCCATTCATTGGAATACTGTTTAAAAGAATGAGGAAGATTTTTACATCCAATGTCAAAAGAGCCCCAAGATATTAAGATACTGAGAGAAAAAATCTAGGTGAAGAGTAGTGCATGTAATACATCACCATTTGTGTTTTAAAAATGTATTTATAAGACATTTTAAAAAGTCTAGAGATATATGCAAGAAACTAATAGAAGTGGTAAACTGGAGACAGGGTGGGACTTGAGCCAGTGGAGAATGGGAGCAGGAGAAGAATTTCCACTGTAGATCTTCTTATAATTTTAAAAATCTTGGAAAATGAATGTATTACTTTTTCAAAAACCAAAACAAAGAGAATATTTATATAAATAAATAATCAGGTTGAGTTTTTTGGTTTTGTTTTTGTATTTTGGTTAATATGGCTTGTGTGTTTGTCCTCCCACTACCTCTGCCTAAAAACCAGTTTGGTTGTAGATACCCAACCCCTGGCTACTCCGGTGGACTAAATTTTGCCGGAGTAGCGCTCTCTACTTAGCACGAAGTTCAAGTCTGATCATGGCTTCAGGGTTAATGCTGTCAAGTTAGTTAATTAAACACACAAACTCTAAGCATCTTAATTGAATGTTTTTGCTGCAAAGCACTGATTCTCAACTAGGGGTGATTTCCCTCCAGAGGATATTTAGCAATGCCTGGAGACATTTTTGACTGTCAAAATTGGGAGGTGCTCCTGATATCTAAGTGGTTAGAGGCCAGGGATGCTGCTAAACATCCTACAATGAACAGCCCCCCACAAGAAAGAATTGCTAGGCCCAAAATATCACTGGTGGAGAGATTGAGAAAACCCGCCTAGAGGGATGCACACAGAATGCTCTGATTGTTGTACTCTCTTAGGAGCCATTCCCAAAGTCTGTGGATATCAAAACATGCTAAACTATCTCTTAACTATAAGTTAATAAAAATTATTTTAGACACTCCAAAAAAATCTAGGGTATCTGTTACATTAGGGACCCTTCATAAAGAAATAATTTAATGGATTCCTAACAAGAGGAAAAATAGAAAATGACATCTAACTGTCACAAATCAATGTTAAGTGCAGTCTTTGTCTTTCCCCAGCCCATGACCATGTTCCAGATTCAGTTCCTGAATGCTGTTGGAGATCTGTTGGATCTGATTCCCTCACTTTCTCCCACACAAGTCTACAATTTGAAGTTTTTTAAGAGATGGGATATGGGACATTGCTCTGCTCTTATTAAGGTGAGACACACATAGCAGCCTCTCTTTTTACCCTTGTTCTGGTCCACCCGTGTATGGCAACATCTCATGATGTCACCATGAAGCTCACCCCTGGCTCTAGCCATGTATCAGCTCATGGGGTCCTCTATGGTAGAAATTAAGAACGGAAAGGAACTGATGGAAGGAACTGGAAGTAAACGATCTTACCTCTGTTTCTTCCGCCAGTTCTCCTGTGCTGTACATGCCAGCTTCCACAGTCTTCCATTTGGGATGCTAACACAGAGTCTTTTTTGTACACATTAAAGGTTAATATTGGATTCTTTGGTCATATTTTCCAGTAATAAATATCACAATAAACACCTGAATTAACACAATCCCTGTATATTTCATACCCTTGTAGTCAGTGGTATATGTATCTCTGTGTCATTCACTATGATTCTGGCTATAGGTTCTTCCTGGATTTGAGAACATCTTTTTTGCTCATTCAAGCTGGTACACGTATGCAGCCATGCTCAGGATATATAAACACTGGGACTTCAACATCAGAGATAAAGACACCATCAGTAATCGCCTCTCTTTCAGCAGTTACCCAGGTAAATAAATTTAGAGGGACATTTGAGTAACCTGAGTACTATTTCAGGATAAAACCTTGGTGATTCAGGGTAACTGGAATGGGAGAAGAAATGTTTAGTAGTTAAGTATACATTAATGAAAATTGATTTCCAGAATGCTTTTTGAAGAAATACAGCTCTAATGCTTTTATTTAATAGAATGGTATAAACTAAGTTAATAGAGTTGCCGAAAATTCACTTCAACAAATGCCAGCTGGGTATTTATTAAGTACAAGGCACTTTCCTAGGGTCTATGTTGTGAAGCAAAGATGAGCAAGGCAGATCCTGCTCTCGGTATCTCCTTGAGGGCCTCTCTGTTTCTCTTATTCATTGCAATAACCCCAGTACTTTAACTTAGAGTATGGCACCTAGTACGTAATAAATTTTTGCTGAATGAATGGATGAATGAACGAATGAATGAATCTTACACTAACAAAATAAGTACAATACAGATAACAATAATAGTATTACTAGATACTATGTATACTACAAAAGAAGTGGAAGAAATGTTATGAGCAATTCTAATGGGGGAGAACTCACATCTGATTGTTGCGGAAAGAGAAGAGAGGTTGACAGCAGAGATGAACCATGAAGGATGACTAGAATTTGACCAGGTAGAGATGGATGGGAAGGACAGTCTTTGTAGAGTAGGGCTTGCAAACTCCTATGCCTAAAGGAGACAGGCAGATGATATAAATGAAGAAATGGTGGCTGGTATGAGAAAATAGAAGTGGAAACAATTGTAGCAAACACATAACCCATTGAAAGGGGGCCAACTGCTCGGCTCCCAACAACTGTTGTCACCCAGCAATGTGGAGATCAACGCTTCCAGATCCTCCAACTTCTCAAGATAGAAATATGGATTTAAAAAACAAAACCAGCTGTGGAACCCAACAAAGCACGTCTGTTAGCTAGAATTGCTCTCTCAGTTGCAGGTTTGCAACCTCTTCAGGAAACATCAGTAGCAAAGAAAAGGGGAAAATTCTTACCAAACATCTGAGAGCCCAGCGTGGATGTGATGTGGACAATTTTGACCCTTAATTACATATTTGTGACTTACAGGATGATTATACCAACCATCTGTCATATCTATCTTCCTTTTCAGAGTGTTGTTGCCCCTTCTGGTATTATTGCTCCTGATAGTATTAACACCACCCTATGAGGAATTCCAACCAGGGGTGTAACTCGATGTTTTTCTGTCCTTGTGACCTGATCCTCCCTTTGAGATCACTTTGATTTTGTCTTTGTCGTAGTTTGCTTAATTGTTTTAGTATTGAGGGTAACTAGGGACTCCCCTCTCCAAGTTAGATGGTGCTTTCATTCTTTTGTGCTCCTTTAGACCAATATTTAAGGACAGCAAGAAACTGAGACCCATCGAATATTCGTACTCTTCCTCTTATTTGCCAGAAAATGCAATATTCAGATGTTACGTGCACGGCTTTGAAATCTCTGGAGAATATTGTTCTTCTGTAGTCTTAATACTTCTGGATCCCAAAGGTAGTGATGGGGAAGGACATGGAGGGATTTCCTGTGAAACTTATGACGCTGTTAACATTTGCATATATACCCTTCCAGAATAGATAGATACATAGATAATAGAGATTTTTAGAACAATTAAACTGAGAGAAAACAAAAGACTTATTTTTACCCCAAGGTGTTTTTAAAAGAACCAGTGGTGCAATGTGGTTCATATTTTCTCTAACTGGACAGCTTTGTTCTCAACAGCAAACACGAAGAACATGTAGAATTATTTATATTACAAAGAATTGTTTGATTAAGGGATCAGCCACATTGGTTTGATAAAATAGATATGGAACTATGCTTTGCCATGAACCTCATGCCATGTGTGCTGTTGATCCCAGAACAAAGCTGGGCGGCTTGTCTATTTTTCTTTGGTGGAGGAGCGCCATAGTAGATTGAGTGGATTAGGAGTGTGGTATTAGTTTTGTATCAAAGAGGGCAGGACCTGGAGTCTCTTTAGGATATGGACAAGGATATAAAGAATTTCTGAGTCAGAACAGACAGATCAAGTCACGAAACCTTCGTGACTTAGCTGAGGCACACGTTAAAGATGATGCTGACTGGGATGGTACAGATACCATCACACTAAAGATACTGCTAACTCTGAAGACCTCACATGCACTTATCCATACTTTTGTAATACATCACGACCCTCCTGCCAAATTCTGTAGAAGTGACCACTAAGATGATTACCATGAAAAACACTAAATGTTCAATAAACAATGACATATTTTTTGAGGTTTCTGAAAAGGAAAGTGTTAGATCTTGGACAGCTGCTAAACATTTCCTCCACTTATGAAATCCGACTATTTTACCTTGGTGAAACTCAGTTTTCTTATCTGTAAAATGAGGCTAATATAATGCTTCATTCACGAAGCTGTAAACATTATATAATTTATTTATTCATCAACAATTTTCTGTTAATTGTTGTGCTAGGCAAACAATTTACAATGGAGAGCAGGACAGATACAATCTCTATTCTAACAAAATTTGCCTTCTGGGCAAAAATGGAGACAAAAAAGCAATGATGAAGTGTGTTTTGTGGTTTTCAGTTTATGGGTCTTACATACCTTTTAATTAATTTGAATCCTAAATAATTTTTGATGCTACTATAATAAGAATTTGTTTTTTATTCCTTTTTCAATAGTTCATTGCTTGTATATATGCATTAGTTATCTATTGCTACAAAACAAATCACCTCCAAAATTCGTGTCTTGAAATAACAATATTCGTTTAGTATCTCATAGTTTCTGTGGATCAGGAATTTAGATAGGACACAGTGAGGGTGGCATGTGTCTACCTCCCTATATGTGGGGCATCAGCTGGAAGACTGAGAGGCTGAAATCTCTGATAGCTTAACTGCAGCTGGAGGATACACTTCCAAGGTGACTCACATGGTTGACAAGGTGGTGCTGACAAATTGGTTCCCCTTCACTTGGGCCCCTCCACAGGACTGCTTGAGTATCCTTATGACAAGGTGCCTGGTGTCCCCCACCCCCAGACAAAGTGGTCCAAAAGAATAAAGCAGAAACAGCAATGCTTATTATGACCTAGTCTCAGAAGTCATACACTGTCACTTCTACCACATTCTATTCATTAGAAGCACATTATTATGATCAGCCCATGTTCAAGGAAAGGAAATCAGAATCTTTTAAAGGGAAGAGTATTCAGTCTTTCACCATTAAGTATGACGTTAGTTGTGGATACCCTTTTTAAGGTTTTATCCCTTCTATTTCTACTTTGCTTAATGTTTTTATCATGAATGAGTGTTGCGTTTTGTGAAATTCTTTCTCAGCTTCTATTAAAATAATCATATGATTTTTCTTCTTTATTAATATGGTGAATTCTCTTGATTGATTTTCAGATGTTAAACCAATTTGGCATTCCTGGGATAACCCCTACTTAGCCATAATATGTTATTCTTATTTTTTTAATCCAATTTATTAATATTTTGTTAAAGATTTTTTCATCTATATTCATGAGAGATATTGGTCTGTGGTTTCCTTTTCTTTTAATAGTTTTGGCATTAGGATAGGTTTGCCCTTATAATCTGATTTTGGAGTTATTTTTTTCTTCTATGTTTTCTGCAAGTGTTTGTGTAGGACTGGTATTTTTTTTTCCTTAAATGTTTAATAGAATTCATTGATTAAGCTATCTAGACATGGAATTTTATTTATTGGAAAGTTTTTAATTATGAATTCAATTTCTCTCATTGATATAGGACTATTCAAGTTTTCTAATTCTTCTTGAGTCATTTTTAAAAATTTATGTCTTTCAAGGAATTTGTCTATTTCTTTTGTTATGTTTATTGAAGTAAAGTTATTTATAATATTTTTATTAATCTTTTAGTGTCTGTAGGATCTGTAGTTAAGGCCCTTTAATTATTCACAATAATATGTCTTCTTTTTTCTTGATCAGTCTAGCTAGAGGTATATCAGTTTTACTGATATTTCCCAATAACCAGATTTTGTTGTCATTGATTTGTTTCCTATTATTTGTCTATTTTTCTTCCTCATTGATTTCCATTCCTAATCTTTTATCATTTTCTTTCTTCTATGTATATTTAATCAGCTTTTTTTCTAGCTTTTTAAGGTAGAATCTTAAATAATTGATTTTGATCTTACTTCCTTTCTACTATAAGAAATAAAACTATAAATTTCTCTCTAAGCACTCTTTTCAGTGCATGTGACAATTTTTGCTATATTTTGTTTCCATTTTCATTCAATTTAGAATCTTTTCTAATCTTTCACATGAGTTCTTTAATCTGTGACTTATTCGGAAGTATATTGTTTAGTTTCCAAAAATCTGAAGACTTTCCAGATGTCTTTCTGGTTTTTTTATTTTAATTCTGTTGTGATCAGAGAACATACTCTGCACAATTTCAAATTTTTGTGAAGTTTATTAATACTTGTTTTATGGCCCAGCATGGGGTCGATCTCAGTGAATGATCCATATGCAATAGAACAGAATGTGAATTCTGGTATTCCTGAGTGTAGCCTTCGCTAAATGTCAATTAGGTCAAGTTAGTTGATAGTGTGGTTCACGTCTTCTATATCCTTTTTGATTTTTTGGTCTACTTTTCTACCAATTACTAAGAGAGGAATATTTACACCTCCAACAATAATATCATCATACCCTTTTATGATTATTAAATGTCCCTCTTTGTCTCTAGTAAAACCCTTTGTCTTAAAATCTGTAATGTCTTATATTAATAAATCTACTCCAGTTTTCTTATGCTTACGGTTTGCATCTTGTACTTTTTCTATACATTTACTTACAATCTATTTGTCTTTGTATTTAAGGTATGTCTTTCTAGACAGCAAATAGTTGGGTCTTTTTTTTCTTTGTTAAGCCTGACAATCACTGACTTTTGATGGGAGTATTTGGTGCATTTACATTTAATGTTAATATTTAAATATTTGGATTTGGGTCTGCCATTTTGCTATTTAGTTTCTTTATAA